CTTCAGTAACAACTTCCCTGTACCATTCAAATGAAAGCCACTGAGCAGTACTCTACTGGAGCAGGCTGTTTATTGTGCTGTACAAGGTGCTTCTATTTTTTGAGCAAAGCTACTGGGCAGCACTTTACTGTAGGGCTGTTTATTATGCTGCACAAGATGGTTCTAACTTTTGAGTCTGTGGTGTTACCATTCAAATGAAAGCTACCGAGCAGTACTTTCTGCTGGTACTGTTTAGTACGCTGCAGAAGGAGGTTCATATGTTTGTATTTATGAGATAACTCCCACAAGGTACTCAAGCAAGCACGCATTACCTTTTTGCAATGACCACAGGATACCCATGCAAAGAAGTTTCCGCGTACTGGACAGTAACAGCATGCTCTGACCTAGACAGCACAAGCTGAGGCATCGCTTTACTATGGATCAAGCCACTCTGAAACCGAACAAGACAATTTATCAACTTTTTACCATAAACCTTGAGACGAGATAAAAGGAGAATACCCGTATAAGTTCAGCTATCAAGTTACAGCATGCGTGACGACTCACACTGTCCTGCAACACTCAGCGTTTGTAGCCTTTTTTGAACAAATAGTTCAACGACTTTTCAAGGACTTTCAAGGACACGTTCCGCATTTTTCAAGGACTATATTCAGTGCAAAAAAAGAGCTTTGAGTCTATGTCTTTTTTTAGCTCTTCCACATCAGGAAAATTTTTGTCTTTGCTCTTTTTCCTTTGCAGTTCTCCTTAAACTATTAAGTTAGCATCGAAATTCAAAGACTTTCCAGTACCGACTGCAATTTTCAAGGACTTTCAGGGGTTCGCACGCACCTTAAAAGTTCAAGGTGCGTGCTAACCCTGACCACTGTACTAGCATACTGATTTCAAAGCTGCTTATTTTCAACTAGACTGGGTAGGGCTCGGAAAAAGCCCCGTCCGGTAGTCCGGGACTGGACAGGTAGATTTTCTGGCTGGGCAAGTAACTTTTAAAGCTCAAGGGTCCTAGCAAGTCATATTCTAACTAAAGTCCCATTCACACCAACGCTAAAACATTGTTATAGTGCGACTACTATAACCGGCGCCACCTTGACAAAGTTGACCAATCGGATTACAGGGAAATAATTCCACTCTACACTTATTAAAAAAAAAATCGTTAATCGGGCAAACAAAATGTGGGGGCTGCTTGCCCAAAGGACAAGCTGGAATTCAAGTTTCTTTAGAGTCCTGCTGGGGAAATGTTGTTATATTTCGGATTAGCGAATGGTTAAACATTGCCGTTTTGATTTGTGGCCCAAATTTTCCAATCATCCCAAATAAGTACAGTCAACACTCGCCCTGGGGACACCTAACTGTTACAGACAACCCGCTAATAAGGAGAGCAGATAAATGCCCTGAAAAAATACAGATGATTGATTGAAAGCAACTCCCGTTACTATGAACAGAAGTCTCGCTATTTCGGACTTACAAACACATTTTTCAGTCCCCACATCACAATTTTATTGTTCTAACTCTCATCATAATGGCTATTGACCGCAATAAAAATCTAATTCTTTCATATTGTGTCATAGACTATGTCCCCTTGGTTTAGCATATGCTTCTTCTGTTGCACATTAATCAAATTTCATTTTTTCCTCTACTTTCTAAAATCAGCTTTCAGTCTTGCTGCCTCAAGTAACTTCATCCAGTCTGGGTATGTTCTATTCGTATTGTAGTCAATGTATTAAAAAAGCATGTTACCCCTAACACATCTCAGCACACTTCCTCCTCCCCCCCACCCCTAAAATACAGGCAATTCCCCACTTCAGAAACTCTAGGGAGAATAGGTACAACTGTACAGGCTTTGGATGCAGTCATCCCTGGGATCGTTGGGTGGACAAGCGTTAGTACAGTTATGATTATACAAGGTAATCAAGGCAACCATTTACCAATCATTAGAACACTTGTCCACCCAAACTATCCCAGAAATCGTTGTGCCGAAATCTTGAACCCATTTCTCTTATAGTTTCTGAAACAGAGAATAGGGAGTTTCAAATGTCACAACGGCGAAGGCAACAAGGACGTCAATAAGCAACAGGCTTAATTTTGGATTTCTTTGCTGACACTGCACAAAGTCGACGTGAAATTTCCAAACGAAACGATTTGTGCAAGACTTAAAGACTGACGGACTGAAAGCAGTGAAAACATGGGTAAAAAATTTAATTTGCATTCTTTCAAACTTTATCTCGTCACTTCCTGCATAAAACAACCCATTCGAAAGTTTCACGTCGTAGTCAGTGCCCGATCCAGACTTTGAGGTATAAAGGGGGGGGGGGGGAAGGGGGCCCCAAAAAAATTTTTGGGCACTTCGGGCTTCAGTAGGGTTAAAAAATAAGGGGGGAGGGGCCCCCGGGGCCTCCCCTTTGGTTCCCCCCCTAAAAAAGGGGGTGATCCATGGGCGGGGGTTGTTTCAAATACCCCAAAAACAGACCACACTATGCGCTGGTGTCGCGTGGGTCGACCGCGAAGGAGGGGTGGGGAGAGGGGGGGGGGGGGGGGGGGGAAAAGGGGCTCCAAAAAAATTTTTCGGCACTTCGGGCTTCAGTATGGTCTAAAAATAAGGGGGGACGGGCCCCCCGGGCCTCTCCTCTGGATCCGCCACTACAAAAGAGCGTGATGCATGTGCAGAGCTGTTGTTCAATACTCCTAAAACCAATTATTTTTTAAAATTGTCGTTAACGCCGTCGTTGAGATTGCTTTAACCTGGCTTTAAACACACACACAAGAGACGGTTTTTTTCTTACCCTTTCTGATTTTGGATACACTCCTCAGGAATTTTACTTAATACACATCGTTCTATACCTGCGTTATAATCCATTCCTGAGCATCAGGTGGCCATGAACTTTTCCCTTTTTTCCTCTTTTCCTTGATAGCCACTTCTGGGTAAAGTACAAGATTCTTGTTCTCTTTAAACTGTAGAAAGCAGCCATTCTCATCGACACGCATCACCTTAAGTTAACCAAAACAAATTTTATTATTATTACGTAGAGTTAAATCTCTCTATTTTGCAAGGGGTCTTTTTTACACGATCGCAGTTTGGTAGTGCCCCCAACTCATCATGCAGCACTAAGGACCTTATAAGATCAGACGAGGGCGTTAGTCACGTACACTGTAATTCTTCTTAGCGGAGCTCTCGCGCAGCGGAGCACCATGGGTAAGAAAATTTGGTTGTCTGTGCACCCAAGCAGGCATCCCAGAAATTTTTGTGCTGAAAAAATCGTCCGTCCGTGCGTAAGTCCGCCCCGTCAAGTTAGTGGATGTCAAATGTCTTACTTACAAGCCTAAAAGTCCAAGGCATATTTAAATTGTGATTAACTTGATATTGGACCTTCATGGTATGGTCGATTGACAGCTGTCAAAATAGGGTATCCGCTTACCAATGTGATATAACTCTATCGCGGGCTCAAGTGTACAACTCATTGAGGTGATCGGTTTTTTTAAGTTCTTTGCTGATCAGTTCTGTTATTCAACAGACTGCAGGCTCAGAAAACTTTACTTCAGGCCCCAGTTGTTCAAAAGGTGGATAACGCCTTCCACTGGATAAATCTCTAACCAGTACATACTGTAATTGGTTTCCCTAATACTTATCCACTAGATAGTGATTTATCCGTTGGATATTGAACAACTTGGACCAGGAAGACACTTCTTAAAAGTTCCCACGAGAGCTCCGCTTTTGGCCTGGGCTAAATTTATTTATTTATTTAAAAATTTCTCCAAAAGGCCTGGATAACTCACAGAGCAAGCTCCATTACAAGGTCCAGAAAAAAAAATACATACAATAATGACAATGAACTAGAAACAACAGAAACGACAATAACAAAAAGAATAGGGGCAAACATTGGTAAAAGAAACAACAACACATTCGATCAAGCAAGTTCATCAATGGCTGACTAGTCTGGCTCTTGATACACACACTATAAAGTTTTGAAGTATTCAGCCACCTGGAGACTCCGGGCTTGGGACAGCTCACTTCCTGGGTTGAGCAAATTCACATGATGCCGTTTGCAGCCTGATGGAAAACCATTCACGGCTCTCCACAGAGAAGACTTTTCTTTGCCTCTGCCTTCATCATCAAAACTCTCTCTTTGAACCATCTCCTTTTCACCCCAAAGGGACATGCACGTGGCTTTATCCAGGCACAGCTCGAGAACAACAACTGCAAAACAGAAAACATAAATAAACTTGGAGCGCTTTCCAGTAGTCCATCACTGCCAACCCATCACTGCCGTGCACACTATTTAAGAATAAACTGATATGGCTGGATGGTCCTTGATAATAGTGGATTTCTCCTCCCGTCTAAACTGGTCTGACCAGCCAGTTCTGACAAATGTTCGCACTGGGAGAGATTCCTCTGGATTCATAAATATTTCCAGATTTATGTAGTCCGCGTCGCAGGCGTTTACACATATTAGCTTATCCGAGAACATTCACTTGGATACAAAGTATTCTTCGAGCAGAGGGCAAACTAATCTGGTTCCAAAGTTATCCGGATTGATCACGAATCCGGAAAATCTTCTCGAGTGTAAACGTAGCCTCAAACACTATAATCATCGTTAAAAATTTGAAAAAGTTAAAGCCAAAGATTCTCTTTTTCTGATGAATAAAATCTACCTTGAGCTCAAGTGTATAATTGTACTATGAATGACATACTTGCTGTTGTTAAAATGACTGATGTGGCAGTAATCAGTCTACCTGATTACTGCCATTACCTGATTATTTTAAAAGACGCGTAATTGAGTGCTTGATTGAGTATTGTGTGACGGCTGTCTAGTTTTGCTTTTATTGCCACTTTCATGTCCTTGTTCGCGACAGAACTTGACATCAGTGACGAAATTATTGGTAAATAATTTCAAAATCACAGCTCCCTCTTGTCCCAAGCATTTCATGTATATCAAACATTACAGACATCAAAAGTAACTTTGAAAAACTGGTTAGGCTAACAAGTTTGCAAAAACCGCAGTTGCAATCCGTTTTAATCTTCTCCAAGTTTGTCCATCCGTGCCTTCTTTTGTATTTTTTGTGTTATTTATACCTTCTTTTTAATGTTTTGAGGGGTAGTTTTTTTACGGTTTCACACAATTTGGCGGCAGTTTCCACTGTCTGAATTTCGATGAAGTTCGTGACACAGCTCCTTTAATATTTCAGTATCATTAAATACGCTTACCATGGTATCTGGTCAGCTCGCCACCAAATCATCTTGCTACCAACAAAATCGCCACCAAGAATAGAGCAGAGTTTTATTGTATAATGCAACAAAATAATGAAAAAACTTTCACGAACAGAAATTTTCTCTTAACTGTTACTTTATTTTTATCATTATTTCAAAGAAATGACTGGTGGTTATGAAACTTCTTTATCTCTCAAATGTCAAAGTTTACATTCACTCAGACTGAACCTATTCCCTGTATTTGGAGTATTATAGAGCATAAGAAGTTCAACCCAAAGAACGTCGACATATTTGTATCTGAATCGAGATCCAATTAGAATAAGCTTGACGAAAAGTAAATCTTAAGTAGGTAATCCTAGGCTTTGCATTAAACTGTGTCAGTTATTTCCGAGTTTTTCGTTGGTGGTGAGTCGACTTCTTAGTGGCGATTTTGTTGGTGGCGAGATGACCGTAAACCCTCACCATGAGGTGGTTTAAAGTCCTCTCCATACGACAACCATATTTCCTGATCATAAACCAGGTCATGTACGTTGGTGATCTCCTCGCCATCCCTTGTAAACACTCTGTTAGCAATTCTCCTTCCAGCTGGGCCACCTCCACTCTCTGACACCTTTGAACAGCTTGTGCAGGCATCAAGAAATCGATGCATCAGTTGTGATTTATCGCCTTGAATCCCTTTTTCGGCCTCGTGTAAGTTGAAGTGGAGAACAACATAGCCTTCAGAGAAGCCATTTTCAAAAACCTAGCAACAAGAAAAATACAACCTTAATCACAAGATCATTAGCGTTAGATGATCACTAGTTCAAAAATTTCCTATAGCAAATAGGGTTCTGCTGAAGCTCAGGCGAGCGGTGAAATCCCCGTGTAGCGTAACACCCGTTATACAGGTATAACCACGGCGCTTCATCATCATCATTATCATCATCATCATCATCATCATCATTTATTAGCCTTTTTTTTACAGCAAATTTAACAGGATACAGCAGGTTGTTAGGCGAGGAGACCTCAAGAAACCACCAGGCTTATAAAGAGAGGCCACCTCGACATCACAATATTATAACAAATAAGGGCTGCGAAGAAGTGCGGCTAAACTAATTTAGTAACTTAAAGATGCGTCCGCACGGCTTCGCGAACTAGCCCAATTGCTTTCAACGGCCACGGTAGCATTTTGGCGCGTATTTTCACATCGCTGGCTTTTTTAATGACTAAAAATTGCAGCTAACCTATTCACAAAAATCAGTCTTAGAGTTTGCGAGTATTGAAAGATTGAATCAGTCTTTTAATGTAATAAGTCATCGGTCAGTATCAACAATTTCGCAGGGCTGGCATTAAGATTTCAAGTTGCTCTGTATAGGCAATTTCAAAACATTTACTGTATTACCGTAAATGATCTAATAAACGCCCACTTCCAAATAAACGCCTCTTATCTAAAAAAAGCCCCATCAACGCTGTTAAAATTGTAATAGACACCCTTCTCTAATAAATGCCCGCTGTCCAATAGACGCCCCCTATGAGAATTATTCCAAACTGATTTCAGTTCTAAACAAACAAATTAATTACCGACATAATCAGATGTTTACAGTTTGACTATCAAGTACAAACATTTACCTTTAACTTGAGTCCTTGTTTAGCCAACAATCTACTTTCTGGGGCTATATGCGTCATGTGTTTGTATCTGTAATTCTCTAGTCCTGATGATTCCTCGTCTTGCGCTGCTCTCTCCACTATTCCCAGATGTGAATTCAGGGTGGGTATCGCACTTGACAAATCACTGTTGTGCTGTTCAACCTTCATTTAAAGACAACAAATGTCACTTATACAAGTCTGTACTATTCTCACTGCATAATTAATTAGCTTATACTACTACATGAGAAAATTCTGCAATTTGATTGGCTTAGAGCAGTGGTATTTCAGCTTAATTAATTTTTGAGATACCTACATGTGAAAATTACAAACCTTTTGCGGGTAGTAGTATAAACAAATAATAGCATGATTTGTAAGTGATATTTGGCATAAATACCACTCGTGATATTTCAAAATTGTCTCAAATTTCACTCGCTAACGGCTCGTGAAATTACGTATAACAATTTCGAAATATCACTCGTGGTATGTATGCCATATATCTCTACTAATCATGCTATTACCTATACTAAGGGCCTGTCTACTTGACGGTGGGCGATCCCAGATAGTTGAGGTAACCCGCTTAGGTGGGGTAAAAACATAACCCTCCTTTACATGCAATCTTACAACCCCGCCATCCTGGGTTGCACTTTCTCAAGATTATTGAATGGTCGCTAAGCACGTAAACAAAAAAAAATTCTGGAAAACCACGTGTTTTGGCGATTAATGCTCTTCAACACTCACTTGCTGCTCTTGCTGCAACCTTCAGGGCTGTGGCTTTCTATTGTTACCTTTAATAATGATGCAAAGCCACCGCCAAAGTGATTTTTGCGCAAAATTGATGTATCACGAGGCCGACCCCGGCTAGGCGGGTTACACCACCTTGAAACGTTTACATGGCAAAATTTGCCCCGGCTGAGAAGGTAACCCGGGCTACCCGCCTTGGCAGGTCACCCCACCTATCATATAAACGTGATCTAATTAAACTGAGAGATAATATGGACAGGCGGGTTACCGCACCTAAGCGGGTTACCTCACCTACCTGGGATCCCTCACCTCCATGTAAACAGGCCCTTATTGCTGGAATTTTGTATGATCCGTGCCAATTCTCTCGGGTTTGTGCATGTTTGTTTCAGTTGCAATGCTTTGCGTCCCTTCACTATAAATTTGACTGAGGGGCCTAAAACGTTGCCATTTTTGATGATCATGAACCGGGACCACAGTTAAATTTTGCAATCCACCGCCCCGCGGCCAAACAAGTGCATTTGTTATCGTTTACGCGTAGCGGCAACTTTCGCCGACGAGATATCAACAACAACGATAAAAATACAACTCGGCGTACGACCACGAAACATTGTTAGCTTAATTTGCTCTTTCTTTCTGCGCTACAGGAATGGCGTAGCGCGCGACGCGATTCGCATCTCGCAAGAGGGTGGTAACTTACTTTTGAGCAGCATTGGGGAGGTTTTCTGATCGGTTAAAAATTTCTTGTATAAAGTACGCTAAAAACTGGCCACTGATAGTTTCTTTCCGATGGTTGCATCAAAAGCGTTCCACTCTGCAAGTGCCCTAAACGTGAAGGTTTGCCCTCCCTCAGTTTTCCTTGTGTATTTAGGACAAAGAAAGTTTAAACCGGGAATAATTCTACAAAACAACTCACACCTCCTTTATTTCATTCTCAATCTCTGCTTCAGTCATAGCCATAATTTCTTTGGAAACAACTTCTTCACCCTTCAGACTTTCCTCTAGCTGTTAAAAGTGAATGAATAATTTAGAATAAGAAGGTACACATTTACACTTTTACTAATTAAACTCCGGCAACTGTTGAAGCTGCAAGTACACGTAACAGAAAGGGTTCTGTTTTTGGTCCAGTTTTGAGAATGAATTTTCATTTGTTATAGCCAACAAAAACAGACCACTGGCAACCAGAAGCTGAAATTTGGCAGGAAATATTTGGATTAATTTAGTTTTCTGTGAAACTGCCCACATACCCCTCCCCTAATTGCTTTTCACCTAAGGCAAAATCTTGGTTTAGGGGAGGGGTAGGTGGCCAGTTTCCCAGAAACCTAAATGTGCTTCACTTGCCAAGTGACATTAGCAGCTGAGATATTCAACAGATAATCGGAAAAGTCAAGAAGACCATTTTCTTTTGATAAAAATATCAAGGCTACAACCAGGAACAAAATGGGTTGATACACAAATACCTTTTTAATCATAGCAAAAATGAAAACCATCGCCAAATGAATGCCTGTTTCCCTCCCTCTGCAACCTCCCCTCCCCCTCCCCCTCCCCTTACACAATGCGGTTTAGGAGAATTATACACATTGGCTTTTAGACTAAAACAATTTTGAATAGAGGGTGAGGAGGGGGCTTACTTTTTTTGTTAGAGGAGATGGTAATATGGCGCAAACTTAGGAAATAGATGGAACTGTCTCAACAGTTTTGTCTCAGGTTGAATCTATGGGTTGTTAACTTGTTTTCCTTTCCCCCCCTTTTTTTTCGAAAACATGAGTTTCCATACCTGTTGTTTGTAAGCTTTACTTTGTTTTAATCTATCTTTGGTGCTAAACAGAAGTGTGGAAATAAAGTGATATGCTCCTTTAGGACTGAAGCGCTCTGCACCTCTTGTCACCCACACAGGGCCTAGAATAACACTAGTTGATGGCTGAAGAATTCTGTCCAGTACAGGAACTGTAAAAGAGAATGGTAACTGATCAGAACTGCATTCAAAAATATTGTTACTGTATGGCAAAACAAGATTTTACCACTGGCAAGAAACTTTTCTTGTTCACTTGCCCGGGGGCAAGGGCCAGTCAGTTCATCTTCTAACTAAATCATACACCATGAAAAACCATGTACCCAAAGAAATGTATAGACTGTAGCCAGGGAAAAATAAAATGGGAGAATTCAACTTTCGTTTTGTTTTTATTTTTGGTTTTGTTTGTCTGCCCTGCACAGAATTTATTAAAATTATCATATAAAGGTAAGTGGGTTTATTACTGTTCAACTTTATACAAAGCATTAAAAAAACGTCAGCTAACCATCAGAGAAGCTCTTGATTTCCTTTCCCTGACAGTCAAACAAAAGCCTGGCTCCTGACTCTAGGTTTAACTTCTTCGTGCAGTCATCCAAGAACTACAGAGATTATAATAATAATTGTAATATTATTATTATTATTTCTATTCATCACATTTATATTTTATATGTTAAAACTCAGTTGGTATAAGTTATCATGTACAGGCCATAAGATGATCTAAGAAACATCTTGTTAATCCTCTTCTTCAAATAATATTCTACAGAAACCTTTTGTGCTATACACCTTCACATACATGTACAAGTAGCTGTGAGGGGTTAGCTTCAAGGGTAAATGCATTATTCACTTACAATGCATTGGATGTACACATTTTTGGTAAAACATCCCTCAACTTGAAAATTCCCAACATAATAAATTTTTAAGTTTAACAAAGACCTGGCTCTTTCTCCCGATCAAACTAGATGCCAAAGTTGTCCTTGACTGAGCTAAAAGCAATGACGTCACAACAACTGATTCAGGGGCGAATGGGTTAAACAGCTGATCTATACCTCATCAAATCTCCCAGCTACAATCTCCACTCCCTCAGAACTTTCACCATTTCTAAACACAAGAATTCTTCTCTTCTGACTTTCAACTAATGACTTCATCCTCTTGGACAAAGATGGCTTTGTGCGACCTCTGGATCGATCCTCAGGGAGAACAATGCCACTTAACGTCCATGAAGCTGATCTTCTCAGTTCTTCTCTGTCTGTTATAAACAACAAACTGGATCAATTCTCTATCCTCTGATAATCAAGCGCTCTGAGATTATTGGAGACACACTGGATGCCTAACTTCATGTATCAAATGGACTTCAGAGGTGTGTGCAACACTTCAAGGCTTAATACTTAAACAACCAGGGTAAAAGACCATAACAATTAAAGACCATTTAGAAAGACCACAAAAGAACACCAATGAGAGTACATTGTATGCACTATTGATCACAGGAGGTCAACAATGTCAGTCTTGTTAAGACAAAGCAAACTATTTATGATGACTTTCAAACATGTTGTCAATTAAAGACTTTGATACTACAGTTGAATCCTCCCTGATGAAGGGCTCTCTCTCTGAGGGGTCAATTTGCTTTTAATTATCAACTTGGTTGATTTTAAACCAATTTTACTTTGTTACCAATAGAAACCTTAAGATTTGACTATGAGTATAATATCAAGTATGAGTACAACTTTAGAATTTTGAACTACCTGTACATGTTGATGTACTAGTAGTTACCAAACATGTATGTCCCCAAAATAATTTTGTCACTCTGTGCTATTGCTAACCAGAATATTGAAAGATGTACACTGTAAGAGATAAAAAGTGTACATAATTATATCTGGGGCACATGACATTAGTTTGAAAACATCACTTTTTAATTGCACTTAATCTTGTATTAAAAGTCCAGTCTACATAATGTAAAGGTCCCCTACAGTCCCATACAAGACTACACTCAAGCAGATGACTAAATGACATCACCTGTATTTACTTGAATTTTACTAATAAAATAATTATTATTACCTCGTATGGTAGCATAAGGATCACGGAAAGGCTCTCCACAAGAAACATAAACATCCACATCCCTCGGCAGCTGGCTAGCATGTGCAACTGGAGTTCCATCAGATAAAAACAGCTTTCTTGCAGCAGACACAAGTCCTAGTTTCTCCGTGCAGGCATCAAGTAGCTGAAGGATTGATTATAACAAGACAAGTTGTAAACAAGTAAATGTTATATAGTCATCCAATCAAAGTTGTTCAAAACCTGTTTACCTGCTGAAGGTCTGGAACAGTTATCCGTGCATAGTTATCCCTGTTTCCATTCTGAAAGGCCCTGACACAAATGAGCTGAGGCTTCCTCTTGAACAATGGTTTAGTTTTCCTTCCACTAACAGCACTGGAAACTAAAGAAAGATTCAAACGATATAAAGGAATTCCTGAAACATGGGTAAGTAAAAACCACTGTTCCCTCTCTTTACAAAATTTAAAAAAAAGTTAAATACATAAACAAAACCTTCGAATGGGTTCCATAAGAACAGTCACTTCTTACCATTAAAATAAGACTGCTTTAGAAAAGTAAAAAATTAATGTAAAATGAAAACTTTATTAGTATTATAACATCTTTTCCTGCATCATTTCCTGTGTCAGTAGGGTTTTCTTTGAGGTTTTCCGCAGACAGAGATTCCTTTGAAGGAGGAGGCGTCCAAACAACTCACCCTTCTAGCCCGTCAAAGACTTTTATGTGTTATAATTTGTATTTTTATTATAATCAGTTAGAACTTATAGTTGTAACATACCCTGTAGTTTATAAACCACTTAACAGTGACTCCTCTTCAAAATTCATGGTGGCTTTACAGGTGAGACCATGATTATACAACCCTCAACAGTAGCATAAAGTAATCATGCAAATGTATATTCACTATGAGTTATCTTTCACTTTACCTGAAGTGTTTCTAGAAAGTGATGAAGCTGCAGAGCTAAATGAGCCTGATCTGTACAAAGAAAAAAATAAAAAACACGGTTTTGTTTTGAATAATGTTAGATAAACAGAGAGTGTAAAAGGAAGAGGCTCATTTTATAAAATAAATGACAAAGCTTGTTCCTAATGCACCATTAAGTTTAACAAAGACACTTGAAAATGTCAAGAACATTAAAGAAGTGTGAGAAACAATTACCTGCAGCTTACAATGTACGCTTCCCTAGCACTTCTTTCAAGTTCTTAAATCCCCACACATTTATAATGTCACAAAAACCACTTGCCATGCCTTTTATTCCTTTATTACTTGATACATGTAATTATGTATGCATTACCTGTTTCTGGTAGCTGGAGCAGATACTGGGCGGGTGCGTTGTTTTGGACTCTGATTGGTCAATGTCCAGTCTGTCTTGTCAGCCCAACCAATCACAGTCTGAGGTGGCCCTGCAGAACTTTTAGACTGTCCTCTTTGTGATAAAACTGCAGACTTGGGTCTCTTTAGCCGAGTACTACTGCCAGTTGAAACAGCATAAGGAGACAGTCTGGCTTCCCTTAAAACAAACAATAAAGAATATATTATTAGACGACCCAGTTTTGCATCCAGGCAGAGCTGTCACTAAGACTTCAAGTTCAAGGCTGTGCTCTGGCTGTGCATGCAGGTCCCTGGCACCTAATTTTTGCTCCCGGGTGACTAGCAAATCAGTTCTTTTTTTTTTTAATATGGAAATCAAAATTTAATGCAGGGCACACTGGGTTTTACAGGTTCAGAGCCTTGGACTTCCCTTAATATTTCTAAGAGTACAGCCTTAAAGTTGCTGGGTATATGTAATTACTGGTATATTGCAGTAGATGGGAAATTGAAAGGCAAGATAGTTCTCTTTGGTTCAATTTTCCTTCCATTTCCTATGAAATGAGCAGGGGAAAATCCCTGATAGTCTAATAGTGACTGTGCATGCGGTCCTTATGTTTCCGCTACATGCAGCAGGTTGGTGAATGATCGGAAGGGTGTGTTGATTTTGGCCAGAATCAAATGAAGAACCTGAGAAAGCAATGGTAAGTACTATAATTCATAATGATCTACAGCATACACTGCATAATACAGTCTGTTTATCATTCACCAAATTTGAAGCAGATCATAGTGTTGGTGAAGAGTTTTGCTCCTGTATTGTGGATGCATACGATGTAATAATAAAATCATCTCTCCTTACTGCAGACACCTTCCGGACCATGAAATAGTATCCTCAATAAAGAGTGTGATAGATGACAGTACATAAAATAAATCATATAAGAAACATGTGAACACATAATAATTTTGACCAGCTCCTAACATCAGCGGATTTATAGCTCAGTTGGTTAGAGCATCACACCGATATCACAAGGTCACGGGTTCAAATCCCATTGAAGTCCTGAACTTTTTTCAGGCTTCTTCTACAATTGCATAAAATTGTGCTCACAACTGTGAGGATCATTCTTGATTTGATCAATAAAGAGTGTCTCTAATAAAGGGAGTTAACTGCTGTCAAAGCTCTGTTACCACAAAATTCCAAAAATAAGCCCCTCCAAAGACAAGCACCTCAAAATACATGTAAAATAAGGCACTTCCCAAACTTGCAATGCAAAAAACTCTCCATTTAACTGTCCCTCCAAACATAAGCCCCCAGGGGTTTGTACTTGGAAATTGCCTTTAAAATCATCAAAATAAAACAAAGCAAAAACTGTACAGTAACACATAATTTCTGGCATTTGGCAAAGAACTTTTACCTGTGCCAAATGAATGCAGTCAAAAAGTGTCACAGTACATTTATATTGCTGTTTGCACAGTTCATTCCTAACTCTTAGCTTGGATTTCCTCGTTCCAAATAGACAAAGAACATGTATGGCTGAGTTTTGGTAAGATTTACGTCCTCAAGGCGAGTTTCCGTAAAAACCCTCTGTAAATTACCGGTATAGACAATATAAGCCTAGCCAATTTTGACATGCAAATTCCCCTCCACGTAATAAGACCCTCAAAAAGGGCCTTTGAAAAATATAAGCCCCAGGGCTTACTTTCAGAATTTTACAGCATTTTCTTTTTGCTGGGGATTTAGCTGCTGCTTTTTATTTTGAGGTGTCCACACTAACTATGTGTCTTTGTCATGGTTTAACTCATCCACAGAGATGAGCATGGGGGGGGAGGTGTATGAGATGCTAGTGGAGCCAGGGACTTCAAAGACATTATGTTGGGGCAAATCTAGGGGGAGGGTACAGGGAGTGCACACCCCCCTCCCACTGAGATGACCTGCAGCTTTCCAATACAGTTATACAAAATCTGCTGTATCATTTGATATCTATTCTCAGCAGTTTACATTAGTATGTTTTTGTCTAGTTGAAAGCCTTCTTCTTCGTATTCACTTTTAAAATTTGTTTACGTCACTAGTTAGTTACGCCATTGATTGGAGGTGCACCCTCTCATAAAGAAAAATCCTGGACCCGCCCCTGATATCTCTTAAACAGGGATTAGAGACACCCTGATTATCGAGACGTCCATAAAGAATATCAAGGCGACTGCTGCATACCTCGAAACATCACGTCTTCCTGAACAACTTATTTATGACAATCTATGGTCAAAGGCCAAAGGATAATCTGTAAAGGAGTCCTAAACCCCATATAAAAACAGACCACCCACTTACCTTCCTTTGCGAACTGGAGGACTTCTTTGAATTTCATCCATGTATTGAGCAAGCAGTATATCTTCATAGGTAATTTCCTCGCTCATTCCTCTTTTGAAATACACCGATGATTTCCCCTTACCAGCTGGACGAGATTCTGAAGTCATTTTGATTTTGTTTGGAAAGTCAGACCATCAAGTCAAGCTCAACTAGTTTTGCGTGATTTACTCACGTTTCGTCCATCATTGTTGAAACAAAACCAACCCAAAATTAACAGGTCGCTGTCTAATTGATGCTATACTGCACTCGTTCAACCGAATTTAGGAAAACCGCCTCTATTTAGGACAGTTTACAAAGAGATTTTTGTCAAATTTACATTTCTAAGATGGCCGCGCGTTGCTACGAGTGACGTCACAGTTTTGTGAAGAATACCGCTGAAAAAGACTTGGCGGGAAAACTCCCGGCTCAGCTTCTAGTCACAGGGCTACGCGACTAGATTCACAAATAGCCTACTGGGAACCAAATTATAAAAAAGGTCATATAAGGATTTGTATGAGAATTTATGGTAAGATAAGAAAAAGGGGGAAATGCATAAATAGCCATGAAAGTGTAAATGCCTCATAAAGAGTTGCGTCTGTGTTGTTTTCTTACTGTTTCCGGCCATATAAACGCAATTTTAACAAGTTCTGTTGTTTTGGTTTCTCACCTGACCAAAACAGTAAGAAAACAACACAGACACAAGTCTTTATGAGGTATGTACACTTAAATTGCTGTTCATGTGCATTTTACCCGTTTTACCGACCTTACGATAAATTCCCAAACAAATAATATAACTTCCAGTAGACTGTTGTGAGTCTGGGAACCCTGTGACACAGTTAAGTGCAACAGTTTTTCCCGGAAATTTCAATGGTTCTTGCACATGTGATGGGTGCATTTAGTTCGTTATATAACGCAATACATTCTTTGGGTATTTCCCTGCTCATATGTCATATCACTAACTGTGGGCGGTCATTCCTGGAATGTTCTACAATTGGTGTAGGATTTAATGGCACCGAAATCAATTGTGGAATTTTAGGCATCCTACACAGACAAAAAAGTTACGACTGATAGATGTTTCGAACAACGACAATTTGCCGTCTGTTCTCTTTGAATTCTCGTCATAAGCCAGGTCAATGCACCGGAAGCCCTACACCCGGTTGACTCAGACGGTAGCATCCGGCCCCGTCTGTAGAGTGTGTTGTCGCGGCTTTTACAGACGGCTGGACGCTCACGTGCCCCTATGGGATTAAAAACTGTTGAAGAACTATATCGGGCACTCTCTTCCAAAAATTCAAAACCAGGACGCTGCTTTTCTTGCGGTTAGAAGATCCGAGGACTTATTTTGCAGGGACATATATCCAAAGGATATCTTGCAGGGGGCACCTCTCCCATGCGC